GCACTTCATCTGATACGCAAAGTACTCGGCATCGGTAGACATATCCACAACACCAACCACATCCAGCTTGGTCCCCAGGAGGTTCTGGTCGCAAATGGCCTGGAAAATTCAAAAGATACAAAAAGAAAGCCTCAAAGAATGAATGTTGCGGGTTAATGCGCATGCATCTGTCGGATTGCTACAGCAGGCTACCTAGATGAATGAAATCCGATCAAAGGCTATATAACTGGCCTGAAAGACCATGCGGCCAATGCGGCCAAAACCGTTGATGCCAATCTTGGTTGCCTCAAGTGGCTTTTACAAAGCACATATAAATGCCAGAAGCGCGGCAAACAACCTCTTTGGCATTCTTCTTGCATTCATCATGCATTCAATGCAGCAAAGGAACCATGATGCTGGATGATCAAAATCGCAAAATGTCGTTCACAACTTCAGTCGGAGTTTGAACCAACAGTCGGCTTTGCCAACAAGCAGGGATAAGCAGGGCGCAGTGCTGAATGCTCGTAGAAAAAGAAACCCATCGGCGAGTGCATCGTGCAGTCCAGAGATATATCGATGGGTCGTTCAAACCTCGAGCCTCGGTCAACCTCCCAGCCGTCAGCCGGCCGTGACACTGGGAGACCGACTGAACCCCTCTTCGAACGGAACGCCGACACTCGGAGCTTCACCCACCGGTGGAAGCTCCAGGTTTGGACCCCCATTCCTTCCCAGCGCGGATAGGACTGCCCATACTGCCTTCCAAAAGGGCGCATTCCGACCCGGCGCGCGCTTTCCAACACCATCGAAGCGACCAACTCGGGATCTGGGCACGGTGGGCTGCTGGTGTCGGAAGAGACTGACGTTTGGAGGTCTGTCATGATGACCCCTCAATGGCATATTCGTGCATTCCTTCCACCTAATTAAACAAACCTTCCATGTTCAGAACCACCATGTGTGACAATGGAGACATGTCTGTTCATTAAACAAAATACATACACCTTGGCTGCGTTGCTGCCATATGATGCCCAGCCTTCAAAATGGATCTGGCTCTCTTGTGCCAAGTCGAACCGGCCCCATCCAAGACCTGTCTCTATGGTGAACAAGCATCCGTGCGAAGACCTGAACTCTCATTTTTCCCTCAGTCCCCAGGTTTCAAGGAGCGATTTCAAGGGGTGGCGCACAATCGGTTTGGTGCTTCGTGGTTCCTCATTGGAAAACTGCCCTAGGTGTCTTCACCACATGCAGCCGCGAACGAATCGCAACTCGAGGTCTCTTTTTGAAAGCGATGACTGAGCAGTCGCCATACAACCAGTATGAAGCCGAATGGGGAGGCCCTATTTTGCAGAAATGTTGAAGTTGGTAGTTGAGGACCCTTTCTCTGCCTAAGAAACAACTGGAGGTAGTGATCAGAACCTGCAAGCCTCTACGAGCCGCCTGGAGGCCTCGCTCAAATTGGTTGAGCCATTCGCCATCGAAATGGTGTGAGCCATTCGACTGCGGCTCCATCCTGGATCAGCCCGAGCCACCAATGGCCGAAACCTTCTCATTGGGATGTGGGTCAACAGCGTGGTGCACAAACAGTTTCCTGGGGAAAAGTAGAAACAGTTCCGCCAGACACGAAGAAACAACGCTGCAAAATAGATTCAACATCATCGGGCAGAAGACCCCACTGAGAAAATCAGTTGATGATCTTGTCCACCTGCCAAGTCATGACTTCGTTTGACCCACGTGACTTCGTTTGACCCACGCCCCACGTGACTTCGTTTGGCAAGCGATCGGGTCGCAGCGATCGGTGTTGTGGTATACCCCACTTGCAAGGCAAACTGATACTATAAACATGTATGAGTGGCAAGAAGTATGACCAATAGGTATACAAGGGTAATTGTACATATTTAGTCAAACATACATAGACGGAAAAAAAAAGATAACTTTCGCGAGTCGTTGAGGGAATGTGAGCTTTGCTGCGGATGGGTCCTTCATGGCCGATGGGCCCGGTAGGGCCCGGTATGCAATGCCGTAATCAAGCGCTGAATCATCATGCGGGTACTTTTTCACGCCTGATATGGTTTGGCCCAAATGGTGTACACTTTCTTTCTGCTTTTTTTTTGACACAGCCTACTTGGTGGTTGGCTTTGGTTTTATGAACTTATAAGTTAGTTATATGGTTTGTGAAAAAATTAGGTTTTCAGGTTTACAAAACCAGAAGCCTTTATTAGCCAAGGTTAACTGTTGAAATTAAAGACATGTGTACAAACTAGAAACTTTCCAAGCACTACGTACTCAATCTGATAAGTAAGCAATACAATGATTTTTTAGTGTGAAACACATCTTGTCAGACAAGGGTTTGGTGTGTTTCTAATGACATTTTCTGGCCGCCCAACAAACCGAATTGGACGTGTTTTCCAACCTAGATTTTTGAACACAGCTGGAGCTCAGGTGAAAGAACATGGGTGATATATAGTTCTTGGTGACAGAATGAAAATTAAAGGAATGTATGGGAATCAATGTTTTCCGACCTATACATGTATAGCTTCGAAACTTTTCAGGCTATACATTCCTATACATTCACATGTTGCTTGCCGTGTGCGCGTCTGATGCACCTATCACTTATCAAACTCTTATCATCTTGGGATGCGGCCCATTGGGCCGCACAGGGATGCGTCGGATTCCTTTTCAACCCTTCGAGACACTTGGTGTGTTCAAAAACCGTCTGCCTTTCTTCGATTGAAAGCTCTCTTGTTCTTCGTGCAAAAACGATGAAAACAGTGGAGAACTCAAAAGTACCATAGGTTCACCTGCAAAACTTTGTTTTTTACTCTTCTTGGAAGTTTTTACACCATGTTTACAACTACGTTAACACACATGTTACTACACATGTTATAACAACATATAAGTTCTATTTACCAAAGCAAACAACCAAGTACTGCACTTCTTGCACAGCTACAAGCGGTTGACCTCATACTTATTCAGCTCTTGACTGAAAATGCTGTCAACTGGGTGTTTGCCGGAGGCCATTGGCTAGGCCTGCTTCATTGGCCATGCAGCTGAATCTTTGCTAGCCTTGCCTTTGTCGCCCCATGCTTTAAGATCAGTGGCTCCCAGTATATAAAGACATTGGAAAAAAATGGACATAACTATGTTGAATTATTTATTTAAATGGGTGACAATGATATTGCTTTGAATGGAAATAAATCAACAGTATTTAAAAAAACAAAAACACAAATATGATTAAAAGTAAATATAATGACATTGAAAACACATGAAAGATATTAAAATGTTAAGATATCATAATAATTTGCATTAAAAGAAAATTGTATATATTATGTAGATTTATGTGAAAGCATATTTTGAATATAATAATCTTTGTTACATATACAATCAAAATGAATATAACTAAGTTTGCATATATTACTTCCTTTATTGAGGTGCATTAACATGATTAACCGTTTTCATTTTCGGTGTATTAACACTCATATTTATTTATGCCAATATTCATTGTTTAATGGAGGTGAATTCATTGAATATGAATTCAGAATATTATGAGTAAAGAAGGATGAATCTATGATGTACTCGTGCTCTGGCCCTTTCTCCACCTCCAATCACCTTCCGCGTCTGAAAATTGGAACCTCTGAAAACATAGGCTCGCAAAAGTTAACGATACATATTATGAATTATTATGATGATATATCAGCAGTCACAAAGGGGTGCCTATTGGAGGATAGTGGTGCCACTCACTTAGGGACAAAAAACACCCCTTTGTGACTCCTGGTATGCATATATATATATATATATATGTCACAGCAGCTTACCAGTTGCCACCCTGTAGTTGACCATTGGCTGACCCTCTTTCCGCAGTCGCCCAAAAACGTCTACATGTAAGCAATATAAATACACGCACAAACACTCTGAAAAGCACCAGTACCTGGCGAATCTTCAAATGTTTTGCACACTCAGCTGTCCCGCTGCCGAGAAAGGAAGCTCAGCTGACCCGGTCGCGCTCAGGGGTACCACTGGCGTCGCCAGGGAGCCATCCAGAAGCCTTCCACTGGTGCAGCCGGCTTCCTCAGTCGATCTGGATCGAGGGCGGGCGGCCCAGAGCGAGGGGGTGAACCAAAAATCTGTAGCACCCACCTGGCCGGCCCAAGGTTCGAAGCAGACCCAGCATCGGTTTTTTCTGTAAGGCACGCTGCAAGGGTAGTATGTAAGTGGCTGGATCATTGAACAAGGGTGCGCTGTTTTGTTTGGATTGTAAAGTGACTTGCTCCTTCTCGCGGGTTGGAATTTGTGCCTTGACGCTTGTGCAGTTTCCATGCAGCTGAAAATATCTTTAAAAGCTTCATGATTTCAAGATGTGGATAGTTTTTGAGGGAGGCGATCAATGTGTCAAACATAGGTTCGTGGCACCATGATTTGAAAAGGACTTTGTTTGCCTTCCACAAACCGCTAACTTCATGCATCTTTGAGGGACCTGAAGTTCGTGTCGAAACGGGCTATGCACCGCGGTATGTAAACATGGCTTGTGACAGGTGATAAAACACGAGACTGGTCACCATTCTCATGGCTTCTGTTTGCCGCAATCACGTCCAGGAAGTTTGCCCATGAAACGTAATCTGCTATATAAGTAAATTGAAAAACAAGGCTTCTGCAAGCCCGATCTCCTGCAAGTCAGTCGTGCCCACTTTCTTTTGCCAGGGAGTCTTCCACTCACCCGCCATGGCGCTCCTCAAATATTTGTTCTCCACCTCTAAGAGAGTCTTAGGAGATCTAATGTGCCCAGGCTCCGCACCCGCATGGGCGCGATAGGCGCGTGAGTTCAAGAAACGTTCTCTCACGTTGAGAAGAGAAGATCCACCGATAGCAAAGGTGCGACAAACATGATATATGATCTTTTTTGTGGAAACACGAGTGGAAACAAATCCATGTGAAAAGAGAATGTGCAGCGGATCTCTTGTCCATCAACCCTCTATGTACACGGAATTCTCGAGACTCGAGACGGAGTCCACCCATCCTCTCTCATCTTCTCATGCTCGCCCACTGCAGCGCCGGAGTCGTAGAAATCGCATGCAAATCCACAGGAGAGGGGGAACAAACACCAAGAACACCGCAATCCAAGCGCTTTGCCGATATAAGATCCTGGCAACAAACTGCCATTGCATGCCATTGCAAAAAGAAAACACCCACCCGGGACAGGATATGTTCCAGAATCATCACTGTGTTTTGCCCTTCCCGCAGACCTCACCTCTCTCACACAAACTCTACAATCAAAAGAAGGACAGCAGGATGGGAACAATTTTTTCCAGTATAAACAATATATCACAACAAATGGATTATTGCCCTGCCGAACATCTGCCATCCACAAAATAGAAAGCAATGCCCTTCTTCTTCAAACACCCCCATACTGCGGTGCGCCGTCCTCGCCAGGTCCTCCGGCTGCACCATCTGCCACACCACCTTCGCCCGCAGCGACGGCGTCGACGTCTTCGCGCCAGACCTGGGCGGCACCTTGCCCTTCGCTAGGAGCTGCGGTCGGAGGTACTTCCTCGCAGTGACAGCGACCGCAGGGTCAGTGGGGTGGTTTCGCCCGGCGGGGTAGGGGTGGTAAGGCGTTTTGGGGGGTTGCCGAGGGTATGTAAAAGACAGACATGCGCAAATCATGAAAATATGGATCTTCCAGGCGTCTGCCTTTTCATCTACGAAACCAGCCAAGGTGGGCAAACACTTCACATACCCTTGTGTTATCCAACAGGTTCTTATGGAGAAAGTTGCCCCTAGCTCCTTAACTTTATTAGCCTGGAAGCAAGGGCCGACATTTTACATAGGAAGATGTTGGAAGATCCAGGTATGATTTCTCTTTTTCCTGGCCAATTCAAACTGGAAAAACATCACCGTTGGACTGAACCCTGCAGCCAAGAGTTCGAAGGTGCGCAAAGCAGTTCTTTCAGAGTATTCATTGCAGGAACATTCCGTTCAATACCACGCCCGCCTCGGAAAGTGACAGAACCCAGCACTGCACCAGTGGGAAAGGAGGGAAAGGCACTCAAACCTAAAACACATCAGTTCACGTGCGCTCTTGACCATCCGACCATCTATAGTTGGATTTCTAATTGATTTCCCTAGACTTTTTAGACCTCCCACAGATGTCCGAACAGTTTTTCCGAACAGCACGAACTTGCTGGCCAGTTTCTCAGACATTCCCTCGTGTCTGTTCGACCCCAACACGACCCCGACCGTCTGTCCGTCCTTCGGTTCCGGCAGCAAAACGGTCGTGGTGTGAATTTTCGCCGAAGGATCCGAGGTTTGGACGTGAGGACATGGCAATGGATGAATTTGGACATTCCTTCCATGAGTTGGTTTAACCAGAACATCTACCGGAAGTCCATCAATTGGAATCCCCAGGCCCTATGTGTAGAATTCTGTAGACATGTCCCTTCAAGATCCTTAAAAATCCTTAAAACAATTCTGACTGCTCCGGACTTGCAAGAAGTGCTTCCAACTGACCTTGCTGTGGAACCTGGAGGTCCAGGTGGAATCCGTGAGGTGAGGTGAGAAACAAATATCCGCTGGAGGTAGGGTGGAAACACATGGAAGAACCATGTCCATGTCCAATAAAACGCCTGGTGTCCACTTGGATTCGGCGTCCTCTGGAGGTATTGTAGAAAAAAAAAGAACAACAAGAGTTCCTGATTCGAGTGCTTCATGTCAGCAAGTATTCATCCTCAGGAAATCTTCACAATGTCTTGCGAATGAGAACTGCCACAATCCAGATGTCATGGTTTCCACTCAAAAGCTAAATGGTTCTTAGGCTGTCCTTTAAATGAACTAATACAAGAACATTTCCCAACCCCACCCCACCCAGGACAGCCCGGGTTTAGCCGCCCAAGGCACAAACAAAGCCCTTGGCATGGAGCTCACGCTCACCCACCTACGGGGACTGCCAAAAAAAAGGAACGACATATATTCGGGAAGAGACCGGAACCGGTCTTGGCATGGACCTAAGAAGGGCGATGTTCTGAAGACCAAACCAACCGGGCGTGGTAGTTGCACCGGTTCCATGTGGGTCTCATGTGGGTCTCACAACGGAGGGAAAACCCTCAAAACGCACGGTGCGCGCTTTGCCACTCATCTCGGGCTGTCTTTTGCTGCAGGGGGTTCTGGAATCAGACTCCACATGAAAAAGGGGTTCCAAACAAACCGATCCTTTCAACACAGAAATGCAAAGCAACAAAAAGCTGAGAAACTTGGGCAATCCCGGGCCACTTTCTGTGCACAGCCCAGATTTTGAAGCTCCCCTTGGGCCGCCAAAGCCAGCAGCATAGGCACGGCAATCCTGAGCACCGTTCCGGGTACTCGAAGGATGGGAGAACGAGTGTCGAAACCGAGGATCCCTGACGTTTGGTGTTCGACGAACACCTTTTCAGGACCATGAAACATGGGTGGACACCACTGTGGACAGCTATTTTACTGAGAATAATATGGGTGGACACCTACTTTACTGAGATATCACTGGGATATCAACAAATATTGCAAACCATAGTAGAGAGAGAGAGAGAGAGTGAATGTCTGCAACATTCTGCAACTCCTAAAGATTGACCTTTGACGGTCGGGCATTGGGTTGTCTCGCCAATCACCGTCTTCCAAATTCTTCTACTTCAAGCGACCGTCTCGAAGGCCATCGCCAAGGGCTTGACAAGTGCTTCCAGGTACTTGGTTTGTCAACCGGGATGGAATAGCAAAAAGTGTCGTTGTTTTCTCCCTCACTTAATTGTTCTGGTGATGGGATTAAAAAGGAGTCTTTTTCCCCGAGCTGCGTCTTAGACGTTTGTCTTGCCTTGAGCCAATTTTAACCACCACCTCTCCCAAAGTCCTCTGAAAACTGAAAAACTTTGAAAAACCATAGACCAGAAGTGACTAGAACCTTTATTGGCATAGGGAGGGACCAGGATGTTTTCTGCCTATATTCAGATCTCCAGGATCGAACCTTACTCCCGATGAAACAAAACCGGCACGACCTCGCCAGGCGTCTCAGTGGGTAGATCCCATTCTTTGAAGATCTGTGCCGCAGCTTTGAAGAGCTGGAACGCCTCTCTGCAGACCAAAACCCGGCGCTGCCGACTACGACTCTGGTTTCAGGTGAGGGATGGTGAGGGTGTGTTTGCGGCGACATGCCGATGGCTCGGGACGTCTGCGGTTCTTTCATGAAGAGACATGTGGCCTGCAGGGAGCAAACACGGGGAGGCTCGACGTAGAAGAGGAGCCATTCTTCCAGTTCATGTGGTCAAAAGCTATTATATAGATCAGCTATTTGGCTCCACAGAACCGGAATTCCGGCCACGGGCATCGCCTTCTTCGGAAGGTAGAAGAGTCCACTGAAGACCTGAAAGATGGTGCCATTCCTCAGGCTTTGCAATGCCCCGCCGGCGCCCTCCAGGCGCATCCGTTCCAAACCTGCAAGTCGGGTGTTCCCAACAAACCGGTCCGTCTGCCCCGTGTGTTGTTGTTGTTGTTGTTGTTGTTGTTGTTGTTGTTGTTGTTGTTGTTGTTGTTGTTGTTGTTGTTGTTGTTGTTGTTGTTGTTGTATCAAACAACTTATCGCTAGGGATCCAAGTACCTTCTCGGAAGGTACTTGGGCCCTCCAAACCTACAAAACAGCTGTCTCCAATCACCTGAGAAGGTCTTGGACACCCAGGCTATGTTGTTCATCGTGTTTGGTTGCTCTTTTACCGGGATTACTGTTTAAGGTTGTCAGGTCATCCATTAAACAAGGAAGCAGGTTTAGAATGGATTTAGACGTGTCTTTTTCGTTTCGAGATCTCAGCGGTGCAACAAAAACGGCTTCAAGGACGAAGCTTCCAGAAAGTCATCCAGTTGAAGTCGCTTGTAAGGAGATGTCCGGAAAATGATATATATATATAATATGATACAATGAGTGATATAATGTTTACTCCCACAATCAGAAACGAGGGGATGTTTACTGGGGCCATAATGTGATTTTTGGTTCAGCAAATCCAGGAGACTTGCAAGGGCGTTGAAGATCTGTGTCTTGGTCTTGTTTTCAGCATCCCAGTACCGCCACCGGCAATTCAGCTTCTTGCTATTGCATTCATCCAGCTTTGCGGAAGTGGTATTTGCCAGTTCCTCATAGGTGCCGACCCTCTCTACCTGAAAACGCCTTGACATCTCGCAAGGAGACATCGCTACATCAAAGTGCAAGAAGAGCATTCCCCTGGAGTTCACGAATGAGCTTGATTCGATCTCTTCCGCTACACATTGGTAGGCTTCACCAGCACAAGTGCGCGCCAAAGTCCATGGAAGGCCTTTTTTCATTAGAAAGATCACCTCATTGACGGTGGCTTTCAACAGGGAGGTCAACAATAAATACTAGCCTATGAATTGAAACAAGCAAAGGTGGCCCGTCAACCCCTATTCATAAGGGCATCCCACAAATTATACGATTCCCACAAATCTACCCTGCCGTGACTGCCGTGCACCCATATTTGAAGGGCACAAAGAAAGGATGTCGCAGTTCACAGCCCAGTCGCTTGTCTGAAATAGAGGAAGTATTCCTGTAGCAACAAACGCCTCTCGTAGCAAAGCTCTTGCTGAGTGCAGTGGATGATCAATGTCACATTTTGCAGCGCCGCCATGTCGCAAGCAGGAGCAAATTCCGGTGGCGCATTCGCATTGACCTGAGAGAGGGGACTCGATGCCGACTCGACTTACTCGAGTCTTTCGTCTCCTCAACCTCTCGTGAGATTGAAGCTTTCACGCAGGGTAATATAGGAAATACACCAAAATGATTGGATCCTATTGGTTCCCTTTCGATCCGAAATGATGCTAAACCTGCATCTGGTGGTCATGACTCACGTTCAGACTTGGAAAAAAGAAAAAACACATGTAGCAACCAAAATCATTCCCCTCAAACACTGTCCCCTCTCACTCGCCTTTTCCATGGCGCCATGTCCCCCGTCCTTCCATGCTTCGGCCCCAAAACAAAGAGAAACACCATGCTTCGACCAGGATCGCGGTTTTCGTCGGCGGGCGGCGGTACTGAGAGCTCGTGGCTCCTGCGTGGCTAAGAGTTGGAGCGCCGTCCGGTCACAGTCGTCCTGCAACTCCACCTGCACGAGGCGTGGGGCATGCGGATGGGGCGTGCGCTCGCGGGCTTCAGCGCGATGGGGCCGCACCCTGGCGAGGAAGAAGTGGGGAAGAGGATCTTGAGGCGAACCCAGGAGGCTCCACCCGAAAGCAAGGTGCCATCATTCGGTGGCTTTGGAGTGTTTTCTGGGTACCTCGATCCATACTGAGACAGCGTTCATCTCAGCACCCGCTCCCGAAACTTTGTCGATTGTTCTAAGTGGGAACCACCACTGGAGCTGGGAATTCCTGCCTGACAGACTATAATCATCATACTGCCAGCACCTTCAAAGGGGTCACCAATGGAAGCCCCTACACTACTAAGGGACCTCCATTGGACACCCCTCCATCATCATACTGCTTATATCAGATCATATATCTTCCCCAAAAAGGCGGCTCATCAGCTCGCCACTTCCTGTTCCCACCGCTTCCGCCGTGTTTCGTTTTCGTACTCGCGGCGGCGAACGGGACGGTTCTGCACCTTGTGTCCACAAAGAAAGCCTCAGCGGCGGGGGGGCTCTGGGCGCCAGCAACTGGCGATGCTTGGGGCTCTGTTCGCCCAGCGAAGGTTGTCCCAGTACGACTGGGAGCTGTCTTTGGGTTAAAATAAGCAAGCAGTGCACCCCCAAATTAGGCCAACCGCTGCCAGTGCGGCAGACTGTCAGTTTTGGACTGGCCGACCCAGTTTGGGGAGATATTCGATAGAGTCTCGCTGGGTTTTAGAACCCTCGGTTTCCTCTCGATGTCAAGTGGATCCACGCACCGTCAGGCCTCCGGCTCGGCTCAAAAGAAGGCCGTCACTAGACCGGATTTGGCTCAGAGTGGCCAAGATGACCTAGTGTTTTGAAGGTGAAAATGTGAGTAACAAGGAAACTCCTAGGTGGAGGCCATCGCTATTTGTAGCAAGAAGCTACTATGGAGTTCGCAGCACGCAAACATGTTTGGTCAAAGGGACCTATTTGTTCGGTGCGCGAAGAAGTCGCCACCCCTTGCGCTAGCTGCCTTTAAGGGCGATACCGATGGTTTTTTATACAATTGGTTCCATGGGGTCACCCATATGGTTGTATCTGAAACACCCACAAAAATGTCCCAAAAACACCCCGTATATCATGGGATTCATCATATACTGTATACTGTATATTATACAAAATGCAATATATTCCCGGCCACACCACGGCCACTCACCCACGGTCACTCAACCGCCAGGACCGATCGCCGCTTCGGCACCTTTGGAGACGATCTGATCCTTGGCGACGCGCGCGCAGCACGAGCCGCGGCAGCGGAAGTTCTGCAGCGGCACGTGGGAGATGCTGGCGGAGGTCATCAGCAGGGTCGGCGAGGCCAGCTCGTGAAAGATGTTGTTCTCTTTGAAGGCTTTGGCCTCGTTTCACGACTCGAAGACGAATTGAGTGGAGTCCTGAACTATGTACTCTCTTTGAAGGCTTTGGCGAAGTTGGATGTGAGATGGCACGAAAGCTAAGATATGGCTCTGGAATGATCCAACAGGGAGGGAAAACAAAGGTGATTCAAAGGAATCTTTTGCGCAAACGGTCGCAGTGACTGGGTGTTGAATCATTGAACATCTACTTGGTGTTTCCAGAGCCCAGTGCGACAAAACCGGATTGTTACTGCATTTAGAATAGAAGCCGATATGCTTCTATGACTTCCTTGCCTAAGGCGGTCTTGGACATCGTAAAACCATATACTGAATTTTGATGCATAGAATTTGAATTGGTTAATATTGTATAGTATGTACGTATATATAGATATTTTTTCTAGATATTCAAGTTTATTTGGTGACAGTGAGGTCAAAAGTACCCTTCTTTCCAGCAGCTCCACTTGTGCAAAGACCAGCGGCAAAGGCTGCATAAACAGGAAAGGCTTGCTTTGGCAAGTACAAAAAAATCTGACACAGCGCGCCAAATTCCAGTTTCCAGCTTCTGAAGAATTGATGTGTTTACTAATCTCAGTTGCGCCGCAATGTCATTCAATGCCTTGGCAGTTTTGAGCAGCCTGTTCCTGGTGGAGTTCCCCCTCATGTCCCAATGGTGCCACAAACACCGCAGCTTCATCTTAGTGTTGCACTCATCCAGCTTGGCAAAGGTGAGGTATTTGTCAGACAAGGTCTCGAAAGTGCCCACAGCGCCCGCATCCAAATGTTGAGCCATCTCACATGGAGACATGCCTTTGATTGGCTTGAAGAAACACTGGTGTTTTCCCAACAAGTGGAATATATTTCAATATGTTTGGGCAAACGATTCTACTAAAGACTCCCTAGAGAAGGGTTCATTGGTTCACCACTAGCGGGAAAATGAGAAAAAACAACCTAAGAATAACCAGAAGACCCACATCGAACTGCATGTAGAGGATTCCACTGGAATCTTTGGACCGAGGAATCTCTTCTGCGATGCACCAGTAGGGATCTCCTTGGCGATCGCAATGCAGGGCGCCCGGCAACCAGCGAGGATCCTTTTCTAGCAAGACCACAGTCTTCTTGAAGTAAGCAGAGTATTCCTTGGCTGGACACTGAAGTCTGGTGGTTGACAAGTTGAGATTATCGAGTTGCATCTCTTAGAACAATAAAAGGAAGAACAGAAATTGTCCAGTTTGCAATAGGATTGAAAAGAAACCCAGCGAAACGCATGCAATCCATCCGTTTTCTTTGTCCAAGCCTTTAATACTTTAGTCAACTGACGCATCCTCCCCCCCAAGAGTCTAAAAGAAGAGGAAGCCGCAAGCGGCAGATCTGCGGCTCCTGCCGGCAATGGATGACCAAGGTGACCTCTGCCAAGCTGGAAGTGCGACAGAAAGCCATGGAGGGCTTCTTCTTGGGCATCGAATACTTCCTGAGAGTGCTACACAGAGGCGAAAGCAGCGAGGTACCGGCGAAGAGGGAGGAATCCCAAGAGGTGGAGACGAAGAGATTCTACAACCTCCCAAGAAAAGAGGTGGAGACCTCCCAAGAGGTGGTTTCTCGATCCAAAACCTCTGGAAAAAGTCACGGAGTGTCACGGAGATCACAGCAGATTTCTTCGGGTTGGAGTGGTGACAGGCCAACAACCTTCACTGCCTCATCCATCTGGCACATAGGAAGAAGGGTGGGAAGAAGTGCTTCCCCGTTTGTTTTCAAACCAGGCTTTTCAGTTCAGCCAGGCAACGATGGGTGAGCCAGCAAATCCTCCAAGCCTTTCATGGGGCCCCTCATCGTTCTCGCATCGCTTTCCAAGCCACGTCCGCCTTGGCGGTCGTTGTCGGCCGCTACGCAGGGACCTATACCCAGCGGCAGCGGTAGACCAATTCCAGAAAAAAACAGACACAATGTCTTTTCTGATCAACCCTGAATCTGAAATGCAATCCTGCGATACATATAGTTCTCGCATGTTCTCTCCAAAGAACAAAGCTTTGTTTGCCTCGCTCTCTCCATGAATTCCACTGAGGCACATCTGAAGCCCTTGGAGACCACTTGTCGCTCACCAAGATGAGCGGGGTCATTGTTGCAGTTGAAGCTTTGAAGGTCCACCTGGGAGATGATCGATGACAAGGCCAGCAAACTGGGAGATGCTATCCTCGGCCCAGGCAGAATTTCGTGGTCACTCTCGTGGCCACTCTGGCAGAAATGGCGCGTTTCACGGTGTCAACTGCTTCTGGCTTTGGGCGAAGCCGGAGCACTGATTCACTGAAACCCTGTGCTTTTTGGGGGGCTCATCATGGCTGATCTTTTGTATCATTATTTCAAACAAACGATCACGTCGTAAATTTGTCATCAGGTCGACTCAGGTTGATGTCTTCATCGATCGGGCTAGCCGCTAGCGTTGCTGGAAGACATCTTGCACCACCTGGGATAGAGGACATGTGTCGTTTCGCTGTGCTTCGCTGGAAGGCCCTCAAAAGGTCGAAGAAGGTTCAGTTGACATGCCGAAGAGGCTCTCATTGGACACATTCTCCTTCTTGAAGGCAGCAGCCAAATCTTGAAATACAGGAAAGACCTGAGCACTGGCTGTCTCATTGATTCGGATCGTGGATGATCGGCTGCTTTCAGACCCGTTACTTTTCAGTGTGTGACATGGGAGAGTCGATGCATGGACTCCTATGTTCTCCCTACAAATTTCGGCTCCCGCCACCTGCTTCGGAAGGTAATAGAGCCCACTGAAGCCGATCCACGTGCCCTCTTTCAAGCGTTGAAAGGCCATCCGTTGCAGCAGTGCCTTTGTCTTCTCAACCGGCCCGGCTGAGCCAAGGCCCGGCGCGCGGTCAAGGAGTGTGTCCAAACGTCCCGTGACATTGAGGATCTGTGCTTTGCTGTGGCTCACCTGCCAAGCATCCCACATACACCCCGATCGATTCAAAGTGCATTGATCCAACTCTTGGAAGGTCATGTACTTCTTGGGTAGCTCCTGAAAGGTGCCAATCTTAGTCACATTCAAGTGCCTTGCCATCTCACAAGGAGAGATCCCCACATCAAAGTTCATGTACAGAATTCCTGGGACCAAAACACTCTCGCTCTGAAGGATCTCTTCAGCCACGCAAGCGTAAGCTTCTCCGGAACATGTGTGTGCCAGCGTCCACATCTCGTATCTCATCAAAAAGACAACCTTTCTCGAGCATGTGTGGCGCATGCTTGACCGATCCAACTCGATCCCGGACATTTTGAGTATATAACTATAACTATAAAGGGACTCCTGTACTATAAAGGGATATCAAGGACATCATGGATCCTGAACCTAACAACCATAATCACAATCACATCACATGAACTTACAACTACAACGATAAAGGGATTCATCAGAACGACGAGCGACCCGCTTGAAATAGAAGAAGTATTCCTGTAGCATCGAACGCCTCTTGTAGCAGAGCTGCTGCTGGGGGCAGTGGATGATCAGAGTCACATCTTGTAAGGATGTCATGTCACAAGGAGCCTCAAAGACTCTTGGCCCGAGCGCATCGACCTGAAGGAAGCGCCGACTCCACCATGGGAAGCGCCAGGCCTATTCCGCCATGGGAGGGAAGAACAACATGGATGCACGTCATGCATCCCAGGCGGATTAGAGTGGGGTATATGAAGAACACTGTAAGGTAAGGTATCATGTATTAATATATATATATATGTAGTAATCTCAGAACAGCTACACTCCAATGAGTGCATTAAAGTGATTTAAACTGCATTACGTTTCGAGTGGCATGGACCCCATGGCGCAAAACGACGACTTAATGATCCTTTCAGCAAACTTCCGGAACTCTGTTTCCCTGTGACCTGTGAAAGTGTTCCTAGTGTCACCTGAAAAACAAGTGCACCTGGAAAAAACCCATTCTTAGTTACTTTCAGACCATCTCTCCACCCCAGGATGGAACTCCCACCCCTCAGGGGTCCGGTCTTGTTGTCTCACCGGTACCGAGGCACGGAGCGCACCGGTCGCGGCTCCTGCGTGGCGAGGAGCTGCACGGCCTTGAGGACGTCCGGGTCGCGGTAGTCCACCTTGTGTCCACACAGGAAGCCTCCCAGTGCCACGGCGCAGGTGTGGCAGGTGCGGCGGGTTTGGGGCGTTGGCGTTTGGAAATGGCGCGCGGTGGATGGGGTAGGGGTGTCTGTGGGGGGTGGTCTGCGACACGTGCGGCAGGGAAGGGGCAGGGCGGGAAAGAAAAGCAGGGCGAACGGGCAGGGCGGGGCTAGGGCTGGGCGCAAGGCGCGCTGTGGGTTGCAGTGACGAGGTTGTAGTAGGTCATGTTCTTTAATGATCCGTGGGTGTGGGATGCTGAATCGATTTTGGGAAAACTGCCAAACAACTCCAAGCAAACCCCTGCAGGTTCGCTCGATCGCGTGGGCACGTTCTGCAAGGGTGATGGGCGTTCTGCAAGGGTCGTGAGTCGTGAGCCTCTTGAACATATACAAAATGACTCCGTCGGACATTTTCCGAATTTGCACATCCCATGACTTGTTCAACCATGACTCAAGAAGTTCTTTGAACAAACAGCTCCCATGACTTGCGCAAATCGCATTCTACAAATCGAACTTGCTTGAGCAGCTAGTGTCGAATAACAACCTTCCTCCTCCCCATCACTCCACTTCTCCTTCTCCAAATCCATCCTGTACTACCTCCCAAAATCATCACACTCATCCTCCAAGCTTCCTCCATCTGCCCAAAAAGGCGCCTTTGGATAAGATCTCAGAGCGTCCCACCAATGAGCAACAGGTGCCTCGACAGCCAAAGTTCTGGCTTCCCACATTGGCGATGGCCGCAGAGGTCGCCAATAGTGTGGGAGAGGCCATCTCGTGAAAGACATCATTCTCTTGGAAGGCCTTTGCCTGCAAAGTCGCTGGACAAAGCGCGGTGGAAGGACACAGGTCTGGTACTCAGACTAGAGCCGGACCCCCCCCAAAGGAGTGAAGCCCAGAAGATTTGGGACTTCATGACAGCCAGAAGAAACTGTGGTCGATGACCCCTTCAGCCAGAGAAGATCCCTAGATTGACATGTTCCAGCAAACACAAAAAAGCAACAAATAAGCATATACAAATATTAATAAACAAGGTCTGCTGTATGGGGACGTGAACCTAGAAACCCAATAAGACCACATCTCTGCTCGGCTGCGATCTCGGTGTGTTATCTGCTCCAGAATGGATCAACCACTATCTTGGTCTAACAAACACTTCATCTAGTCTATAGTCTATATAGCTGATCTGTTTGTAGTTATCATTATCATTACCCCCGGTGTTTAGACTTATATAGACACTTTTCAAACAGCTCTTGGGTTGTTTCCCTTCCTCGTTCGGTCATCGTTCACTTTCCATTTCCTTTGATGAGTCCTCCATACTTCAATTACTCCATTCCAGTGTCCTCGCCGCGCGCGCGCGCGCGGGTCGCGGGTCACGTCTGCGTCTGCGATACAAGCGACGAAGGCGACGTAGATGGGAAAGACGGCCTTTGGGACGTAGAAGAGATCTGACACAAGGCGCCAAATCCCCGTATCCAGCTTCGCCAGGATGGACAAGTTTCCCAGTCCTGTCATTTGTCTCATGGCCTTCACAGATCTCGAGATCCGATTCCGGGTCTCATTCTTCTTGGTATCCCAGTAATACCAAAGACAGCGCAGCTTCATATCCTTACTTGCTCGATCCGCAAGAGGACGTCTGCCCAAGGCTGCCCCACACAATTTATTTCAGGATATTGGCAGCCTATTGGCTATGACTCCACCCAAAAGTTCTCAGTTCAACACTCAGAAGTTGTTTCAGAACCAGTTTAACATCCCTACTATTTAGATGTTTTATTCAGGAAGGGGGTTATAGAATAAAAGTCAACAACTTTTATAACGTAGCGTAGCAGCGTGCCAAGGTGCCACTACGTATATACCCCTTCTGCATCACCTCCGCCACCCGTGCCGAGAGTCTCGCTCCATCCGCCACCCTCCGAAAAAAGCGAGTCTCCGAACCCATTGGGGTTGATGACCATCGCGAAATTGAGTTTTTCTCTGGATTCCAGAGACGAAGTGACCGTAAACAGGACCCTACAGGGGTACCACCCTAGGATAGTCTATAGGGTTCTTCAACCTCTGCTGCTTCGAAACCAAGCGGTTCGAACTCGCTTCGATCCCACCGAGGCTCGGTGTTGCATCGGTCGAAGTGAGCGAAGGAGATGTACATCTCGGACAAGCTCTCAAAGGTGCCCACCTTGCCGGGCTCCAAGCGTCGAGCCATCTCACAGGGAGAGATGCTCACGTCAAACTGCATGTAGAGAATTCCTGAAGGACGGAGTCAGTGGTTTCAGAGGTGAGAAATGGCACTGAGCACCCCGAGAGGTCGTTTATATGGGGGGTCCTTCTAAAGCACCTAACTTGGGAATTCCTAAAGGACAAAGTTCAGAAAGCTGTAATCGGAGCTAGTAGCTTCGTCCATCCAACTCGGATTCCGATTCCCAAACACCTAGCAGCTTAGCAGGGAGTTGCCCCGGTCCATCATTCAAATAACCCAAAAGGCTCAAGCATGCTCAAACAATCTCAAACATGTGGCTGTGGATCAATGGGATCAATTAGTCACTCCAGTCAACACCCCAGTCAACTATAGGATTAGTGGACCATGTCTGGCGACCCTATCATTGCTTCATTTCAAATCGATAATCATTCTTGGGGGTACCCTTTGTGACATTTATGATGACTTATATATATATATTATATATATATATCATTAAATATCTTATATTACCTCTGACTCAAATGATGTACCATGATGTGTCATCGAAACATGACGTGTCTATGCCTCTTATTTATAAGATCCCAGAGCACCAAAAACACCGTCTGACAAAGTTCCATCCGAATCGTTGGACCGCGAAATCTCTTCTGCGATGCACGAGTAGGGATCTCCAGCCGCCTGAGGGCAGAACACGGCTTGAGGCAGCCAATTGGAGTCTTGGCCCAGCAAAATCACGGTCTTCTTGAAATAAGCAGAGTATTCCTCAGACGAGTTGGCTTGGGGTGCGATTAACTTCTAGTGGGAGGTTTGCATGCGTGTGCTTTGTCTTTGCACCCTCGACATTGGCTTCGCAGAAGCAACACCACTTATTGCTCAAAGCGGAAATAAACTTCCACTATAGCTGTCACATGTCGGTAATCCAAAACTTGGATACATGAGCCTGCCGCACCGGTTTGAGGAACATTCCGCTGGGCCAGTGTTTTGGCCTATCTGCAACGGTTGCCCTGGTACATGGCAATTAAGTTACATGCATGAGATACTGTTTTAACTTTCTCCTACCGAGTTCACTACCTAACCCCGATCACGAAGCAATCACCATGTGTATGCTTCATGTGGCATGCCTACAACAGGAAAAACACAATTAAAGAACCTACCACTCGCTGCAAAGGGAAACTGATATACAGTCACCTGCTCCATTCTTACTCACTTGCTCCAAGGGGCCATCAGAAGGGGAAGCCGCAATTCGCAGACCTCCGGGCTTTGTCGGCAATGGATGATCAGCGTGATCGCCGCCAGGGCCGAGGTGTTGCAAAACACCATCGCACCGGCGTCGCGTCGCGTCCCGCGTGGCGTCCCGCCCTTTCGGCGCGCGACCAGAGGGCGCGAGGTGGAATGGAGAGGGCGCGCGTCACGGCGGTGCGTGGTGAAGGAATGGTTACCAGTGGCTGAAAACAGGAATCAATGTAGCAACAATGGCGGTGAATCGAATTCTATATGGGGTGGCACAGTGAGACTCTCTGCGATGGACAGCGCCGACTTACAGCCACTCCACTTCAATGGAGTGTGAACCCGGAGATGCGTGGAGATGCGTGGAGTATGTGGATCTCGGTACCCCCAGTACCACATCTGGTGTTGGTGGGTATGGATTGAACTGAGATTAGATTTGAGAGGTGGGCCTTTGATACCCATCGGTGATCTCCAAGATTGGGCGTTTGTTGCAAATCCAGCATAGTCCCAGTCTTTCCTTTGATTGCTGCACAGCGAATATCAAATTCTTGAGCCAATGAAAAAACAAACATATCACATATAAGGTCCTCTGTGTCCTCATTCAGCCTTCACAATTTTTCCCTTTCTCCCAAACATCCTTGCCATGCATCCCAGGTTTTGGCTTCGCCACAGCCTTCGGTGCTGCTGGGGCAGCTGCTGCCGCGGCAGGTGTTGGCGCCGCTGCGGCGGGCGCCGCCGGTGTCGGCGCTGCCGCCGCCGCAGCAGGTGCTGCGGGTGCCGCGGCGGGCGCCGCGGCTGACTTCGGTGGCTCTCCTGGGCTGCTCAACGCCCAGGGGTTTAAATCACAATCAAGTCACATGCCATCACATGTGTGCCTCCTGAGTCTTTCCTGCTTGTGTGATCACATGTGATCACTTATAATCCTAGACCTGTGATCACCCTGAAATTTTTCCACCGGTTTGCATGAGTCATCGATGGCTTTTTCTTCCCGAGTCACCGCCAGGCGTAAAGGTGGCCAAGAGTTGATTCTTCTCCACCGTGGCCTCGGCCTCCGCCAAGATCTTCTCAAGCACTCCGTTCTCAGGCGCTTTCACCTCTGCCATCCGTCTTCTCGAACCGCGGCTCCCCACCGGAGGTCACCACGGGTGTCTGTCCCCACCTGCTTGATGAAGGTCTTTAGATAATATTAAAAATAAGTGATTTTAAACGAAGGTGCTACTCCTTCTCCTCTCCTTTGCTTTCTTCTCCTGTCAGGTCCTCACAGCCAGTGCCAGCTCAGGCTGGGCATGCACGGACCTGTGCACCGTGAAGGGTGCCAGCTCACACGCGGGCTCGCTGCACAGCAAAGCCAGTTAGAATGCCAAAAAGATTGTCAGAAGATATGCCAGGTAGAATGCCGGAAGATATGCCAGAAAGGATCTCGGAAGATGTGCGCGGTAGAATGCCAGAAGATATGCCAGGGTGTGTGCCTCCGATGTCAGAATATATGCCAGATAGCGAGCTAGAAAGGATGTCAGAATATGAAGGCAGGCCAGAGATAGTCGGAAGATATGCCTGAAAGAATGCCAGGAGAGATGTCAGAAGATATGCCAGATGGAATGCGAGAAAGGATGTCAGAAATGCCAGATACAATGTCAGAACGGATGTCAGAAAATATGTGAGTTAGAATGCCAGAACAAATTGCATATAGAATGAATAGCTTAAGAGCATATCTTAGAGGGAGTCATAAGCGAGCATCAGGTCTGCACCAGTGACGATTGCCTCTTAGACTTCGCTGCCAAAGGTGAACAGGAAGCTGAACAGGGACGTGGTGCTTTGCACGGGCACTGGCAGATATGGGGCACCAGCGTGACAATGCAACATGCAATTGAACAACTTCACTTAAGCGACAAACACAATTACAGTAGCTCATTCAAGTCTGTCGTGAGTGTGTGGCTGAGCTTCTTTCAGCGGTCGCACCACAGCAGTGTTGAGCATCTTCCCAAATATGGAAAGCCAATGATTCTATCTATGACGGCGGCGAGGAGAATCCTTCCAAAGACATCGAGAGCCACAGAAGTCACCAACATCCCGAAGCTGGACTTACAGTAAGAGATTTCCTCCTGACGATCTCCTGACGATCTCGATGAACGTCGGTGCTGAGATGCCCTGACGAACCAGCGCATGTCCTGCCGGAACCCATGAAGAAGCCATGCCAAGCGAAGAAGACGTGGAGGTTACACACATCCTAATGATTGGACGAAGCGCTAAGATGCGGCAATCCGAAGGTTTCAACAAGAGATTCACATACTGACTGGCAAACAAACAATATTCACAACTTCAGGGTGCGTTGCTTAACCGTGTTTAATGGTTCCGTGGCCTAAAAGCTATCTTTGAGGGGCTCAACCTATGAGGCCTGCACTCAGAATTCCAACATTACCTTGGGCAACTTAACATCTGCAACTCCAAATAAACCAACAAAACTTGCCGCTCCACCAACAAACCAACAAAACAACCACCACCACTGCAACATCTGCATCTCCACCCCACCTCAAACACACTTCGACCACCCCACCCCACCATTCGACCGTTCCACACCGTGCCACAACACCTCCAGGGACGTCCGGTCCGTCCGAAGGCAGCCCGTCGGGACGGGTTTCGGGCCGTTCAGGCGACCCGGCGCCTCGATGGTGACTTTGTCGGTCTCGATGAGTGCCAAAATCTCGTCCTTGGCACAGAAGTCCCCCACTTTCTTCCTCAGCGAACGCGACCGCGACGCCGGAACGCGACGCCGGAGTCGCGGCCCTCCGGCGGCCCACCGGCGGCGAAAAGAGATCGGTTTGGCGCACAGAGACGTGTTGATTTCACCGCGGTGATGACTCCGGAGATATCGGTCCTTCGCGGGGAGGGTGGGCACGAACCCTGTAGGCACGCGGAAGAGAGAGAGAAACGAGCGGATTTCGCGAGAGGCGTGGAACCGGGTGGATTTGGGCGGAACCTGGAAATCCAATGAAATATTGATCAGAAAGGATGATATCACCACTTGTGAGATGCTCCGATCACTCAAACAAACCACGAATGTTTGACCTCCCCGTGGTTGGGCTTCACCATGTTTCACCAATGCCGATGGGCCTTCTCGAACACCATTAAAAGGTCCATCACTAGGCCATATGTCTTGAGGCCAAGCATCTGCCACTCCATGATGGTTCCCTCGGTGATGCTCTCCCCACCAAAGTCCTGCGGGCAATGAAATGGAAGCTGTGCATTGTGAACCCCAAATCAAAGGGTTCATGCGGTGAATATATTTACCACCAAAATAAGTAATGGAAAAAGGGATGGAATGGATATCCCGACCATTGCCTGAACGGAATCGACTGCCTTACAGGATTCAGTTTTGTGCGTGTTTCGCTTCAGGCGGTTGACTATCCAGATGTTGCAACTTCACCCAAACTTGGACCTTCCATGACCTCTTCTCCAGCGAAAGCACTCGAGCTCGGTCCTCCACCTTGATTTCCACACTAAAGAAGCGACCTGAAACCCTTCCAAAGGGCCCGACCGCCTGCCGCGGCGCGGCGCTACGCCGCTACGCGCGGCTGAGCCGGTTCCGATGTGGGTCGACGGTCGACGCAACCGCGAACGGTGGAACGGCGAAGGGAGTCGCATCACCGGACTCTCCCACGAATAGAGCTCTCACAGTTGGCTGAGCCGGGATCTGATCCGTGTCCTGGTCTCAAGCACCTGAAATTTGTCAATATGTACTTTCAACTACCTTCAAAGCACCAATATCATTGTATCCTACCTATTCCTATACCTTAAAGTACTAGTAGTACATATTTGTCTCCGAATTCTTTACCTTCAAGTCTTGCGCCCGTTACAGTGTCCAGGGAGTCGGCTTCCTTTGAAAAGGAGACACCGCAGGAACGACACTTTTCCTGGCGTACTGCGACTCGAGGCCGAATTTTGGGGTGGTTGTTTCGGTCACTGTAGGAATATGTACCACACATGGAGAACCCGCAAAATGAAGAGGAATAGGATTTTTCAGAGGTCAGGACGTCTCGGCGCTCGATCTTCACTCGCGCAGACAAAAAACCTTCAAAGAATGAAGTCAGAACTGACGGTTGTGCCGGAAACATCAGAACTGACCGTCTACTCCAGTTTGATATGGATACTTCAACGTCGGTCATGGCATTGGTCCGGCGATCGGTCGCACGGATGTTCCCATGGTTCCAGGGGATCGAATCTGCTGCTTTCACGTCTGCGGCCCGTCAGGACGTCCGGACGTCGACGTGGCCGTCCCCGCCTGCACTGGTCTGGGCGGTCTCAAGTGAACGATGCCTCTGGGGTTCGTCAGGATCGACCTCCTGACCGCAGCCGGTGAAGGACCGGTCAGGAGTGAACCTTGCATTTTGAGGCAAACGCACCTGTGTGTGACCCCATAGATGGTCAAACGTCCTATCAAAACGGTCCGGTGTCCCGTCTGGGCGAAGAACACGCGATCGACCTGGAGGGGTCGGAAATGGCCGAGCCACATGGAGCAGATGGCTGCAGAATTGAATGTATTTGGCAGATTTTGATATGACATGTTCTTTTTCATTCAAATAACCTTCAATTACAGATTTTACACTTTGATAGATTTGGTATATTTATAGAATATGAAAATGCAAAAGTCCACCCCAGCTTGCCATATTTGGCGTTGAGAGACACCAAATCAATCATTGAAGAAAGGGGCAAGCGAGGACATTTTGAAATTGTGTGCTGTCGCAGCTAAAAACTTATACCATCTTTTTCAAACTGACCATCTTGAACACACCACGCTCAACTTAGCTAATATTGGAGTGGCTGTTTGACTTTGCAAGGAATGTCAATCACCTCCAAGCTCATCCAGTCAATCGACAACCACTCATTACTCCGCCTGTTTTGTCTGTGCAGTTGCGAGTCAAGTTAGATAGGGATAGGGATATCCTTGCCCAGTTTCAGAAGTAGTACCAGCAACCCTCTACTCCGCGTCGGAATATACAAATTGATGTTGGATATGATGATCCATTATCATCCAACTAGTTACTGATACGTTACAAGATCTTTCAGGGAAGAAACTGAACGCTCGTCGTCCTCTCAATTTACTTAAGCGTTCTGAAATGCCTCTTTTCATGCTCAAGAGTATCTGCGTTTGTCTAAGCAAAGATTCTGGGCAACAGGTGATACTGATGCGCCATACTCTTGCCCTCAAAAAGAACCAACTTGCGATCAGCCACATCAACAATTACAACAACACTCTTGGCACCTCCAGTACCACACATACAACGGCAAGCACATGTCTGACATGGGCTCCAATCAGCCGCAAAGATCAAGGTCCCCAGCAAAGACTGCGGGCACTGTTTGGTATGAAGGAGATTGGAGGAGACGGGAAAGTCACTGCAAGCGCCATCCGACCTCACGTTGCCTTGTCTGAAGACTTGTGAAGATACGCCCGGAGAGGCTGAAAGGAACACCGAGAGGGCCATCCAAAAAGGTCGAAAAGCAATGCATCCTCTTTGTTCTGTTGTTCCAAACAACTGAGCTGCAAAAACCAGACCAGGGAGACGAAAGCACCATCCTCTTGGCCTGAACCACCATCCTCTTGGCCTGAGTTTGGAACCACCAGCTCTTGAGCTGCAAAAGGGCCAAACCACGTTTTTGCACCACAGTTCGCCCGAACGGCACGTAGAATCATGCCCCACAGCTGAGCATCTCAACGCGCGGCATATCAAAAAGCCACTCGGCCCAGCCACGAGCCGCAAGCCACTCGGCCCAGCCACTCAAGTTCTAGAGGTGAAAAACAAGGCGTGGCATATGAAACAGCCGTGGCAACCACTCAGCCGCACAACGTTTTGAGAAGCTTAGTAGCTGTATAGGGAGTCTTATGTCGTTATTTGAGTGATGGGCAGAAAAAGAACCATTTTTCATTTTTTGATCCTTTTTTGATCTCCCCCACTTCCCCCATTCCCCATGTCTCCTTGCCAAAGGCCTGAAACGCCACATGGCCAGTCCCGGACCGACCGGCACGGGCCCACGGGCCGCGAACAGGCCCTGTGAGCAGCTGAGCAGCTGAGGGAAAAGCAGCGATCGACCGGTCCAGGCCGGTCCAAAGAAATAGATAGGGAAGCCTGGTCGTCTCAGTTTCTCCACCCACGATCACACTGGATGGTGGAACATGGACGTTGCCAGAGCGAGATCGAAGTTCCACTGCGGGGGGCGATACATCGAAGCACAGAGAGGGCCAGACATCACCTTTGCGGTGCTTAGATCGGTCCCGACCCAAAAAACACCCAATCATGGGATCACGTCCCCGGTAGTAACGGGTGCTTCGCTGGGGAAACCACTGGTATCGTTCAGCTATTTGATGGGCATTCACGTAGGCATGAGCATCCTCACTCATTCTGGTTTGAGGCCGATGACAGCATGGAGTCTTTCTTTGGTGCACACCGAGATATTGATCAATGCTTGATCAAAGGGTGAAAACTTCCGAAACCAAAAGACATCTGGAACTAGTATCATCTTTGTCTGAACACCTTTCTCCACATCAAACAGTACTCGGAGGATTGTTCCCACGTCTACCACGATCTAAACCTGACCCACTCGCATCCCGTCTCAAACTCGCCCACAACGCTGCGTGACTCTTTCTCTCTTTCGGCCAGTCGTCCAGCCAGTCATCTCTACACTCCCATCCACACCTCCGTCGCAGAAACCTAGAAACCCAGCCCACCCTGCTGATGGGCGCACGGCCCACCACATCAGAGCGGTTTCGCATCCGACTCTGGGACCACTCCGAGCACGACCGCGCAGGGCGTCCAGGGCGGTTCCAGGTGTTGGTCTCCCCCAAGGGCACCGCGACCCACGATGCATCTGGGCGTCCTGTGCAGTCAGAGCGCTGTGTCCGAGGCACGGCGACCGGTGCGCTTCCCTTGGGCGACCGGCGCCGACCGGCGCCGACCGGTCGACCTCGCGGGTGCGAGCCGTGCCGTTGGGTTGGGAAAGTCACAAGGCCCAAGCACGACGGGAGGTCTAGTGGCAACATGACTTCGAAATAGAGATCCGACTAGCAAGGGTAGCGAAAGCAACTACCACCGGCCAGCCTCTAGTTGAAACGGTCAGTTGACGAAGTCCGCCCCATTCCCACACTTTCAGTAACAGCTAATGGCTTAGCCAGCAGCCAGCACTGGCCCTTGCGCCATGGACTCATGGGACAAAGAAAGTCTACAGAAGTAAGTACACTTAGAAACCCAACCACCTGCTACTCCCTGGATGCTCTGGACCCTGCCTTATAGTGCACCAGGTGCATCGTTGGACCAAGTCCAAAGTCCCCAGAGTATCTGATCGTCTGTCTACAGGTGTCCGCCTGATCGCCACCGAGTCACAGACGATCAGGCGGAAACCTGTGAAGACAATTCGATACTCTCGGGACTTGGTCGGCGACGGAGCCATCCAGAAGCCTTCCACTGGTGCAGGCTTCCTCAGTCAGAACGATCAGTGAAAGGCTTGGGCCTCTGATCCGATGATGTAATATCGGTAGCACCAAATATGGCCCAAGGTCCACAGCTAAACAGGCCAACATCTGGGTGTTCCAAGAGGGTGTTCAGAACTTTTTTCGCTCGCAATTGGCGGATCCGAGAGTGATCCCTGCCTTGCCCTCTCTTGGAAGCTGTGTGTAATGAAAATCAAGGTGAGCGCTGGACCCAAAAGCAAAAAGAAGCGCGCAACCGGTCTTTTAGCCTCCGTTATCCACGGCAAAGCACCCTCAAGCACACTGAAAACAAGACGGTTCCCTTTTTAGTCGGGTTGGAGGTTGGATGTATATATATATATATTTGTTTTTCAAGTGGCTGATTTCAATCTCTGCAGCTAGTCTCCAACCCCATTGCAACATGGCTTCCGACAACCGTTCCAGGAAGCATGGAGCAGCATCAGCCCCCTCCATGTTGCTGCTCCATGCTTCGTTCCAACCATCAAATTTCAAGCATTGCGGTTCTGGCATGCAACAATCCTGTCATTTTGGCCATGACTCGACTGTGTGGCGCATGCATTGTGCACATTTTGGACACGCAAGACCATCTTATAAGCCCCGCAACACAGCTCCCCTCGCGTCAGAACGTGCGTCCGCCAAGCATGGAGCAGAACTACCCCCACCCATGCTTCGTTCTACTTGTGAACTGACCCGGAGCAACCTGCAATGATGCTTGTGGTGCAACCATGTCCTCGTAACTAGCATATCAGCCGCACAAGACCGCTCCACTCCCAGCCCCGTCCACACCCACGCGCCTCCCGTCTCGCACCCCTTCCTTCCATCCACGCACCCTCCGTCTCGCTCCCCTCCCTTCCTTCCCCAGCCCCGTCCACACCCACGCGCCTCCCGTCTCGCACCCCTTTCCTTCCATCCCCAGCCCCGTCCACACCCATGCACCTTCCGTCTCGCACCCTTTTCCTTCCATCCACAGCCCCGTCCACACCCATCTTCCGTCCACAACAGCGCTTGCTTTGTCTCGCTCTTCCGTGGCACTAGCGACTAAACGAGAACCCAAGCATCGGAGATGCTTTTGGGAAAAATCCGTAAAGCTGGAGACTGCAAATAGCTTATTATATATGATGGTTTCATGATATTACAGTTGTAGATAGTATCTGAAATAGTATCTGAGGGAGGCTGCCAGTGTCGTTTGTGGATTCAACCACCGTTTGGGAAGGACTCTATATACGGTTCATGTTTCTTTCAAAAGGTGTGATTCTTGATGATTCTTGCAAATAGAGTATGCCGTGCCAACACTTGGCCTGTGCAAAGTGACGGTGTCACGTTCTCCTGGTTCTCCTTGTATGACGGAACGTGTGTATGACGGAAGTTCGAACGCCCATGAAGTTCCAAGACACCCTGCATGCTCCTTCTTGCGACACTGGGCTGACTGGGCATGTTCCAACCGTGTGTGACAAACTGAAGTTCCAGAAAGGAAGAAGTGGCCTACAAAAGCTCTCCCATCTGTATACCCCATGAAAGGAATTAGACATGTAAAACTAAGGAAAAGTTACATCAGCATCGGCCCCAAACAGCATTTGCTAAGGTGGTTTGAGGTCATGGCATACACAAGCAGAAACATTACTTTGCAGTGCCAAAAGCATTCCCTAGTCTTTTCAAAAGCACGCCCCTGGGCAAAAGCTGATTGTAACAAATGTCACTGGAACCAAGGCAGCTGGCAGCTTGCAGTGACTGGAATGGTCCAGAGATTGGAGGGGTTCACTATTTTGGCACCTAAAGATCGGGCGCTTTCGGGTGACTTGTTTTTGTTAAGGGCAAAGAACTTCTTGAGCGAAGGAGAAAGATCAAATCTTTGTTCCCCAGATAGCGATAGCTATGGGGGGTTCTTGCTTCTCAATGACTGGTTGCTATCTGGGGTCTATGCCAGGAATTGTTCACAACTTTGCCTTCATTTGGCCTTCACAACTTTGCCCATGCCACTGCCACTCCCACACATCCATGCCACGCATCCAAGCGGCTGAATGGCTGAAGCCAACGCCGGCTGCGGTCGGTGCTGTGGCTCTCCTGGGGTCGAAATCACCATCAAATGGCCATTGTCTGCCTGTATCTCGTGAGATCTGAACCCGATCTGTCGCTTGCTGTCTCATGTCCTTTCCATGTCCTTTCCATGTCACATCACTTGAAAAACCTGGATGCTTCGACCATGAACGATTCTTCCACTCCACCGTGTCCACTCCGTCACCGCTAACGGCGAGGCCACGGCGAAAACGGCGAAAACGGCCACGGCGAAAACGGAGCGACGAGGTCTGAAGAAGCTGCCGAGGTCTGGTCAAAACGATCCACTTGGGGGGTCGTTCAACGATCCAAGTGGTGGCCTTGACTTTCTGCCCCACCCACGGAAGACGAAGCCAAACTGCTGGGAGCTGTTTTTGAGGTGCCGTGGCGCCGATGTGCTGTTTTGAGGTACTAGGTGTACATCTGGATTCAGTCGTCTTCATGCTTAACATTAACATGGACAACCACCTACCGGCAAACATAGCAAAGCCGGCCAAGCACTCACTTGCGCACCCCCAAATAACCTCACTTGCGCA